TTGTACTTATCTGAATAAAGACTTTACACAAATCCCCTTGCAGGAGGTTGGATTCTTACTTTGGTGATGGAGCAATTGTTTAGAGTGGGTTAGTTTATTTTTATTTTTTTATAGTCTTGCATTTCTAATTTGCCATCATTTCTCTTACTGATAAGGATATCCCAAAAGGGTAGGTGGTTGCTGTATTCTTCTTTCTTTATATCTTTTGTTACTTGAAATAAAGTTATAAAATGGTTTGAAATTTAAAAAAAAATGTTTGGGAACTTGGCATTCAGATAAATCAGCCATCAATAGATATATAAACATGAAGAATACTTACACATTATTCAAAAGAGAAAAATAAGCAAAGCTAAGAAGGAACCAAAAAGACCAGAACATATCCTCTCTAGCAGGCCACATCCGGATAAACAGAGATTAACATCAGGCAAACATTCAAGCGGAAAGCAATATCCTAGTGAAGAGAACCACCAAGGAGAAAACCACACCCTACCAAAAGTAGCAGAGCAAGCTAGTATATAAATGGGGTAAAATCATGCTCACATTGAAGATATTATTTAGTTAGGTAATGAAACATTTGCAAGCAAAGAACCAAGCTCAGAGACCACCAAAGATTCCAATACTTTAGTATTGAGAGACAAATGTTTTTAATCCAGCAAATACTGTCTACTATTGAAATGTGTTATTCAAACTGGTTTATCAGTTGTAAGGGTATTTGTTTTAATTTAATTGAGTGCCAGTTATATTTTTTATCAATTATTTTTAATAGTGTGTTTAATTTTATTCTGTTTCATTGTAATTCTGTTTTGTCTTTATTATTGTTAGATCTGAGACAAAATAATAATTGGCAGTATCTGCCATTGAGCACCACCTAGTAAGAACATTAGTAGTGGAAATGAGAGATTGGGATATTTTTAAAGAAAATAATATATGCTTTGAACTGAGCGAAGCAGAACAAGACATAAACCTTGATCAGTTTTATATATTCACGAGCAACTGGCATAGATAGCTGTCCCATTCATGTTTACAAAGGAATAAACACCACTCGGAACACAATAGATCTCATT